TTGCTTGCAGCTCCATGCCCACTCACTCTCTACCTCCGGATCATCTCCATGTGGAAACTGAGAAAAGACTTTGCCTACACCCTAGGACGCTTGGCTCCATGGAGTCTCACTCTGTGGAATGAGTGGGGAGCTGTTGCCCCCAGAGTCCACGGGGGCAGTGACTTCACGTTGCCATGGAGATGCAGGCTGTCTTGAAACACATACCACTTGCCGCCCACCCTCGAGCCTACTGCTTTCCAAGTTACAAGGGCCTGGCTAGAACTCGGAGGCCTGTGGTCCACTAGGCCGCTGGGCTCCTCATCCCTTGAAAGCTGTTGTGATGGTCTCTGACATAAGTAACGGTTTCACAGATTCAGTTCTTGTCTGACTTTGATGGATGGAAAAGCTCAGCATAAACTCCCAAGTGCCAAGCAGATGGCAGAGTTTCTTCTCAGTGTGTGCAGAAGAAGACCCAAATGCAGAGACTGGTGGTGTGGGCAGCAGGAAGAGCCAAGCACTGAGAACTACACATCTCACTGGAATAAATCCCTGCATTAAGGCTGACATCTACTCTGGCTGCCTCTGTGATTTAATAACCTGCCAAAAGCCAATGTGGTGGCTCACAGCTATAATCTTGGTCGGTACTCCTGGAGCCGAGGCAGGAAAGTTACCATAGGTTTGAAGCTAGCCCGGGCTACATCTTGAGTTCGACTCTAACTTGGGCTAAAGCCTTTGTCTGAACCCCTCCTCCAACAAATCAGTAACTTGCTTAATCACCATCAGCTCCTCTCTCTCTCACTCGGACCCAGCTCCTGCTCACCCGCTGGGCTTCCTGGGTTCACAGCAGGAACCTCTGCCTCTGGCTGTCTCTAGGATCCCACATCAGCAGCTAACCTGCCACGTCTACTCCTAATCTGGGCAGTGGTGGTGTAACAGGACAGGACTCTCTAGACCAAAATAAAAATTTGGTGAGAGACTGTATGAGCAGCACTTTGCATACAGCCGGTGCTCAATAAATGGTACCATTGCTCTGTGTGTAGCACGTGTCTGCTGCCTTGACAGTAGCTGGTCTGCACAGTCATCCTCACAGTGGCGCATGGCACTGCTGGCCCCCTGCCCTGCTACCAGGCTCCTCCAGCTCGTTCCTTCACCCACCTCAACCATTCAGCATTCTCCCTGTGCCCTGCTCCATCCAATCAGCATTCTCCCTGTGCCCTGCTCCATCCA